TCTACTCTGCTTTTTAAACCTTCCAATGTGTTTTTCATTTCTGATATGTCATTTTTTATCTCTTCTTGTTGGTTTTTAATTTTCAATTGGCTTATTTTCAGTGTCTCTATGTCCTTACTCATGCTGTTCAGCTTCCTCAAGATCATGGCTCTGAATTCTAGCTCTGTTAACATGCCTAATTGCTCCACATTGATCTCATCTTCGGTGGAGGTCTCTTGCTCTTTCATTTGGCTTCTGTTTCTGTGTTTCCCCATTTTGGCTATCACTGTGGGCTTTGCAGCCTGTCAAGTTCTCCCTGTGGGTGTTGGTGTTCTGCTGTTTGTGGCTCCCTCTCCTGTGTTTAGATGAGCGAGGGAGTACCCATGTTGAACACCACTGTCAAGTCTTACTTTCCTGGTTAAAGTTGCCAGCCCAGGAAAGGTACTGTTATCTTCTAGCTTTTTGCCTGGAGGCTAGCAGTCGAGGTTACTTGATGAGTTTTGGGTTGTCAGTTGATTGAAAAGCTCCCTCAGGTGCTTAGCACAAGGGGATTTCCCAAGTTTGAGGCAGATGCTGGTTGTTAGTGAGCCTCAATTAGCACTTCAATGGCCCACAGGGTGGGGTTGGATCTCTGAGGGAGGGGCTGCTGCCTCTCCTCAGAGCCCTGGGAAGGAGTAAGATGGCCACAGTCCTGCGTGGCTGCACTCAGCCAAAGCTCTGAGCGCCATCCAAATCCCGAGTGTCCCGACACAGTTCCAGTCCAGTCCGCCCTCCCTCTGCCGGAGCCCAAGGTGAGTGGCTGTGGCTGTTTTAGCCTCTGTCCCGGCTCTGGGCTGTGGAGCTGCCTGTGAGTGTAACCCGAGGGCGCGGCTCCCAGCTAAGGCCTCTGCCGAGCTGCTGACCAGCCCCCGTCTCGCGCCTTCGCAAGCCTACCGGGATGGAGTCAGTGTCCCTCGTTGTATGGTCCTCCAAGCTGCTTTTCTGTTGCTTTTTCCCGTCGATTTGTCTGTGTTATAGTTGTAATTCCAGTTTGGTTCTGGGAGACGGTCTGTGTGGCTTCCGTTCACTCCGCCGACATTTTTCCCTCAAGCAGGTTTTGTTTTTGTTGTTACTGTGGTTTTTGTGGGTTTTTTTTAATAAATCAAAACCATGAAATCTGTTTTCCTGTCAAATATCATTAGATAGGAATTTTTAATGATGTTTTTGAAAGAATATTTATATTACCTTCTTTTTTTTTTTTCCCACATCTTTATTGTTGGATGTAAAATGTATTACAGATGTTCCACATTTTTCCCCCATTGACCCCCTCCTCCCCACTCCCGCCCCCCTCCCACCTTTTCCCAAACTATTGTCCGTGTCCATTGGTTATGCATATAAGTTCTTTGGTTTATTTCTTCCCACCCCCCAACCCCTTTCCCTTTGAGGTTTGTCAGTCTAGCAATGAATTTGTGCTTCTTAATCCCTTCACCTTTTTCATCCATTCCCCCAACCCCCTTCCCAACTGGCAACCAACAAAATGTTCTCTGTATCTATGAGAATGTTCCTGTTCTTCCTGTTCATTTTGTTCGTAGATTCCATTGTTGATAGATATGTATTCATTGCCATTTTGTTTGTTCATACATTTTATCTTTTTCTTTAAAAAGACCCTTCATCATTTCATATAATAACGGTTTGGTAGTGATGAACTCCTTTAACTTTTTCTTGTCTGGGAAACTCTTTATATGTCCATCAATTCTAAATGACAGCTTTGCAGGATAGAGTAATTTTGGTTGTAGGTTCTTGCTTTTCATCACTCTGAATATTTCTTGCCACTCCCTTCTGGCCTGCAAAGTTTCTTTTGAGAAATCAGCTGACAGCCTAATGGGAACTCCCTTGTGGGTAACTAGCTGCCTTTCTCTTGCTGCTTTTAAGATTCTCTCTTTGTCTTGAACCTTTTGCATTTTGATGATGATGTGTCTTGGTGTGGGCCTCTTGGGGTTCATCTTGTTTGGGACTCTCTGTGCTTCCTGGACTTGTATGTCTGTTTCCTTCACCAAGTTAGGGAAGTTTTCTGCCATTGTTGTTTCAAATAGGTGTTCGATTTCTTGTTCTCTCTCTTCTCCTTCCGGCACCCCCAAGATGTGAATGTTGGCACGCTTGAAGTTGTCCCAGAGGCTCCTTACACTATCCTCATTTTTTTGGATTCTTTTTTCTTTTTGCTGTTCTGATTGGGCATTTTTTGCTTCCTTATATTCCAAATCGATGGTTTGCTCCTTGGATTTACGTACTCTATTATTGAAGCTATGTAAATTATTCTTTATTTCAGTTAAAGCCTCCTTCGTTTCTAACTGTGCAGCGATCGTTTCTGACTGGTCCTTTTTTATGCTCTTGAGGCCCTCACTGAGTTCATTGAGCATCCTTATAAGCAGTATTTTGAACTCAGCATCTGTTAGGTTGCTTATCTTCATTTCGCTTAGTTCTTTTCTTGGGGTTTTGTTCTGTTCTTTCATTTGGGACCTGTTTCTTTGTATCCTCATTTTGGCTGCCTCCCTGTGTTTGTTTCTGTGTATTACTTAACGAGAGGTATGGGGCTCGCTGAGACCCAATGCTGCTCGTTTGAAAGAATTTAGGAAAAACCTGAAGCAGGATCCAAGACAGGCCAATCCTATGGTTAAGCAAGTAGCAACAGCTTGGGTGGGCTTGAAAGTTGGGTGGGGTGAGGTGGGGCCTCAGGGAGTCACCAGGGCGGGGCTACCAGTATGAGCCAGGTTGCTGGAGTCCCAGATATGGCGACTGTCTGCCGCCCCTGGGAAGGGCTCACCAAAGGAACAAAGGCCTCTTACCGCATGTTTGTCCCCGAGGAAGCCCCCTCTCCAGCCCTTGCTCCAGTGTCAAACAGCTCAGTTCTTCCCTGTATTTCTCTGGTGCCCCTCGAGCTGCCTCCCCTCCAAGCTTAGAGGGAGAGAGTCCGATAAGTCCGTGCGCGGGCCCTTTAAGGAGCTCCTGTGGCTCCAGCCAGGTCAGCTTCCCTGAGCCTCAGTTTCTACTGGTTTTTCCAGCCAGAAGTTATGGGGATTCTCTCCCTGGCACTGGAACCCTGAGCGGGGCACCTGGTGTGGGACGGGGACCCCTCAGTCCTCAGGAAGGACCTTCCCAGCCGCGGGAGCCTCCTAATTTTTATCCGCCACACTTGGGTGTGGGACCAGCCCGTCGTGCTGCCGCCGCCACCCCCCGTGCCGCCACCCCTCCTACAGGTCTGGATGTAGCTGCTTTTTATTTTTTAATTCCGTAGTTGTAGGACTTCCATTCAGCTTGATTTCAGGCGGTTTTGGATGATGGTTGTTCTGTAGTTTTGTTGTAACTTGGATGTGGTTGTGGGAGAACGCGATACTGCGTTTCCCTACGCCGCCATGTTGACCGGAAGTCTATATTACCTTCTTGATTGTTCGAATGTGATGATTTCCTGAAAGTCTCCATGTTATGCAGATACAGTTTTTTCCCTCCCTCCGTAACTTGTGTAATACACACAGTGATTGAAATAATTATTTGACTTAGTCAATGAATTAGAATATTCTTTAATCATTTTAATTTTTGTGTTTATACTTCATTTTTATTAATGGGGAGTCAAATGGTGTACAGTGATTGATAAGAGACAATTCTGAATGGCTGTGGAAGTTCATTCCCCTCTGGACAGTTTAGTGAAGAGCTGGATCAGCTGGATCCAAGGCATCTTTGAAGGCTGTTCTCAGAGCGGCAGCATGCAGGTCTTCGCCCTCCACATGCCCAGCCCTCCAGCATTGTTCTTCGGCCTGGAGATTCCTTGATATATTTTTTGTTATCCAGAGAAACTGGGAGTTAACTAGTCCCTCTCAGGCTAACCCATGAGTATCTAGCATATGATGTGTGTGGGGAGGGGAGGAGAGTGTGGCTTATTCTCTCATGGAGCACTCTCTGTGCACATCCATCCAGCCAGCTGTGCAGGCAGGCCCCCAGCTGCAGGAACTTGTTTCGCGTTGCATACAGAACATCTAAGCGCAGCCTGTGCTGTGGAATGAGAATTTGGGGGACTGAACATACTTTTACTTCTCTGCTTGTTAGTTTTTTCCTCAACCAACCTTATGGTATATCTGCACTATGTGGTAATAGTGTGTGTATTTGTGACCGCTTTATGGGACAGGAATGCTTTGAGATCATTTAGCAGAAAGGTACCGCTTTTGGATAAGAGATGGTTAAGTATTAAAGCTGGAGCCAAGTGGAAGGACACTTGGAACACCACAGGGCAAGTATAAAACGTTCATTGGATTACATTTTTATATGAGTATTTCTACAGAAGATATACTGTTATTTAAGGTATAAAGAAGGCTTCTTGGCTACCTTAAAGTAAATATTGTGTAATTGTTAGCCTAAGTTCTGTTTCTCAAACTGTCCTTGCAGGCTATTCCTCCCTTTTATCTCTGGGTAGGTAGTGTGGAAGGGGTCGAGGTTTAATGGAACTTTGAGATGAAGTGAGTTGGCCTGAGCCTTGCTTTGTCTAAAGTTGTTCTTCACAGGTTACCTCTTCGGTATTAGCCAGCCTCAAATCTGTACTTTGAAACTGATAGTTTTTTAAAATATTAAGTATTTCTTTTCTGTAACTCTAGATTAGCTAAATTGCTTATGTGCACTCAGTCAAGTTTTCCTGTGACTGTGTGGGGTGGGATCATAAACACTCCTTGAGGTATGATGAGTGATTTTTAACTGAACCCTGGACGGATTACTGGTTGCCAGGAGTTGAAGAGGGAGGTGGGAGTGAGGAAAGTGGGAGTGACTATAAAAGGCAACATGAGGGATCTTTTCTTGTGAGGGAAAAGTTCTGCATCTTGATTGTATCAATGTCAGTATCCTGGTTGTGATAGTTACTGTGTAGTTTTATTTTATTCCTCTGACATTGACAAAATTACCTTTTATAACAATTATCAGTGCTTTCCATTTTAAATATTACTAACTTTTTGAGTCATTATTTACATGTTAAAGGAGGCCTTTATGTTTCTTCTATTTTACAGATATTTGAGATATTTGGACCTGTTGCACATCCATTTTATGTGTTACGATTTAATTCTTCAGAGCACATTGAGAACAAAGGTATTAAAATAAAGGACACTATGTATTTTGCTCCATCAATGAAAGACTTCACCCAATATGTATTCACAGAAAAACAGTAAGTACCTGCTGGCACCATCCCCCCCCCCCCCCCAAGTACATTTTGGTTGTTTGCTTATCTAATATTTATATTTTAGGAATAATTATCAGTAATGGTGGTTTTAAATGCTATGTTATCCAAAGAGTTCATTTATCTTCCTAATAATACCTCTGAAAGCTACAATTTTTTTTACAGCTAGAGATCATTTATATATTTTGCCCAAAATGATTTTATCAACTAGTAGGAATATATTTGGGCCATATAAACTTTTTGAATTCTAATTCACTGTGTTTTCCATTATATATATTCATACACACACATACATTGTTACTTCAATATTAATGTATCATTTAAAAATTCTTTTCCATTTTAAATTAAATTTTCATTGAATTAAACTCTAGACTTTACTGTTTCATAAAGCTTTATAATTCTGAAGAAAATAAGGAGATTTCAGGTTACTTGTAAATTGTAAACTTACAGAAAAGACAACTGAAATGTTTCCCTGAAAAGCTGTGTATCAAGTGGTGATAAACAGGGTTGACTTAACTGCTAAATTATTGCTCTCCATGTTGTCTGTAACTATGTTCAATGATGCCTATAGCACGTGGGTAGTAATATTTCTGCATATTTATGCTCTACTTAAATTGTGTATTTACCTTGTATTAATTGTGTTGCCCAGTGTTAGCTGTAATGCTGTTTTTATGTCAGTCAAACTTATTATAATTATGTAATTTAATTTTTATGTAAACTAATGGCATATAGTTCAAGTAGAATAGCTTTTTCTATAAAAATAAGTTGAATGCTTCATGAAGATGTAATGAATATGAGCAACTAAAAATACTGTCAAATTAGGAGTGGAAGAAAAGGCCACAAAATATTGAGACAAGGAGAGAGGATCTTAAATCCAAAAAGACTTTGTACTCAGTTTGACACACAAGTCTCTCTTGGGTCTAGGTCACAGGGGAAACATTAGGGATGTGGTTTTTGCAGGAAGTACAAAGGGAACTTCAAGCAGTAAGTAGGATTAGTGCTATGTCAGAAGTACTAAGCATAAGAAGGTCTCTACACCACTTATATATTAAAGCAAGTCTCGATTTCATTTATTATTTCAGATGTAAAACTTTGTTCCTGATAATTAATAATCTGAAGGCACATTTTACCTAAGTTATTCTTCAGGCTGTGTAAGGTTAATTTTTCTAAATGACTACTGACAAGAAAGGTGCATTGAATAGACAGTAAAGTCATAAAGATTACACAGCATGTTTTAAAATTATGCCTTAAATAATTAGCATTTCATTCTGCTTTGAATATTAGGGTTTTTCTGTGGATATGTCATATAGTTTGCTTTTGCCAAATAAAAACAGAATAAACCTAAAGATTTTCTGAAATGCTTATTGAATAGATTTTGAATAACAAGAGCAGTCTTTTTGTTGGTTTTTTTTTTTTTTTTTTTTTTTGTAAGAATAAGAATTTGTCCTGGAAAGAAAGAACCATAAACTAAAGAATTGGGAAATTATGCGTACTGTACAGAGGCCCCAGCTGTCAAAGCCTGTTCTGTTCAAGCTTTTATTTTGGTGTCTGTCATGAGAACTCAGTGAAATACTTTGCCTTTGAGGTAGAGAAGTTTAGCTCTCCAGCTCACCTTCCTCTAGTAAGGCTATTTAAATCTAGCTACCCATGAACTTACTCTCTGTGAAAAGTGGTTTTTCAAATATTGCTTGATCTTTTCTTTAGCAGATTTTGATTTTCAGAACTAAATGCACTATTTGGGGACATTTATGTCTTTAAACTCCAGGCTAAGGGTACCGCAGGCCATGAGATGGCATATGTGGAAAAAAGGAGTACTGGAGGTCTGTTAAATGTGTGGGTGTAAGGTGTTAACTAACAAGTAAAAGCTTTTTTTTTAAGTGGTGGAAAAATCGCAGTTCATGCCTCATTTACATTGTCAACATTCTGAATCAAAATTTCAGAACAAATTTAATGATTTTTATATTTGCCAGCCTCTGACATCTATAAATTGATTTTTATGGAATATAGATTAATGTATTAATGATTTTAATAAATTAATTCCTGAGAATCCCATTTAATTTTGAGATGTAGTTTAAAGTAGTTGAGAACTAATACTTTGTAATATATTAATGTAATCAATTAGATAAGAGGATATTGTCAAACTATGAAATAAAAAAGATTAATAAGATTTAAAATGAGCTTTCATAAATTATAATAATGGTCCTAATAGATATATGTAACTTTTGTTGCTCATAGAGTATAAAACTCTTTCCACTAAAAGTAATTATGCTCGTGATTATACTGTCCTTCAGAATCTTAAAACTCCTCTCCAAACTAGATAACCTTTTACCTACCCTCTCTGCTTTGAGAATTATTGTTGGACTAAGCCTTGGTTACTCATGGAGTATCCTTGATATTCCTCAGGTAAATTGAGTAAAAAGAATTTCATGTTGTTATCTCCACCATTAAACCTAGAAAATCTTAGACAAGGAAATGCCTCATATTCTTTCTTGTGTCCTTATTTAGCATGTGGAACAGTATCTGACCTACAGTTTGTGTAGAATAATTATTTATTGAAATGAGACTTATGAACTAAATAAGCTCAGTTATCATGCAAGTATCAAAGTCATAGCATCTAGAGATGCTTATGAACTGCAAAACCACTTTCCTTTGCATACCATAGCCTTGACTTCTTATTCTGGTACCCCAATTCTAAAATACCAAATCTGTTTTTCTTATGAGCTACCCACATCTTCTGAAACAAGGTAAAAGACATAAAAATGGTCCTTTATTTTTTGCTTTTATTTTCATGTATGTTGCAAAATTAAGAGTTGAGCTCACGTCTACTACTTTATTATTTTCAATACCATAAACTTGTAAGTGCTTAACAGCATTAGCAAGTATTTCTTTGACTGTGTGTTTTCTCTTCCTAGGGATAAGGGATCGGATGCATCTTGGGAGAATGATCAGGAACCGCCACCAGATGTAAGGATAACTCTCTTTACCCAATATTTTAGAAATTAAGGCAGGACTGAATCCTATCAAATCATTCTTGACTTTAAGGAGGTCCTTTAACGTTCCTCGTATTGCCTTCTTTGGCCCATGCCCCCTCCCTCTCCCACATGACTGCTGTGTACCTTTCAAGAATTTTTGATTGATCATTTAAAAAATATTTTCAGTCACGTTTTAGTAATGATTAGCTTATCATTTTCCTTATAATTTCATATTTTTAATCAACGTTTTAACACCTGGGAAAGGCAGAATTGTCATTATTTTTAAATTTTTTATTTTTTAATTTAGTGATTTTACCACGTGAGACATGGATATATTTATTAATGTTGCTTTTAATAAGCTGCCTTTCTTTTGGAGGTACAAAATTATTAGAATCTACCTACCTCATTTTTTATAATATTATCTTCTTAAAAAGAGAGTTCTTGATTTTCTTTTTTGAGTCTATGCCAACAAGACTAGTTTTATGTCCCAAAGTAGCTTGATATACAGTCTTTCTAGAGATGTGAAATAGTCAGTGATAATCTGTAGATTTAGTTGATTTAACTTTCCATGGAGATGTTTATGCATATTTTTAAAGTTATTAAAATACAGAAATTATAGCAATGAATGTATACATTTCTTAAAAATAGTATGAATTTATGTAGTATAAAATAAAAATATAATTATAAGTGAGAAGTTTTGTATGTGTTCAGTAGTTCTGATGAGGTTTATCAGTATAGTAAATTCTAGGTAATTGTAGATTTAACTCTGTTCATTTTAGATGTTCTTAAGCAATGGTGAAGATTCATGGTCTATGTTAATTTCTAATTTTGCTGAGCCATGAAAATCAGATAACGCTCACATAGAGGGTCACTTGACCAGTGTGAGTCACTTAACAAGTGAGTAGTCTTAGTTTAGTGTGCATATTACCATGGGATTTTATTTTCTAGTTTTCTATACATATGATTTCCATTAAGGCCTTGAAGATTCACTTAATGTTCTTAATTATGTATAGGGCATTTTACCATTGAAATTACATGTTTTTAAAGTATTCGAGAATTCACAAAAGTCTTGAAAGATATTTCTTGTGAAATGCAAATATTCTTATATATCCCTGTTGTTTCAAACCTAAGCACTGACGTTGCTAATTATGGTGATGCTAACCATTTATAAAATTGGTTTGATTAGGTTAATTATAAAACTAAATCTGAGCATACTTCATGAAGTTTTTTCTAAATAGTTGACCGTCCGTTATTTCCATAATATAGAAAACTCTGAGAGTCTAAAATTTATTTTATTGTGATGACATTTTGTAGTTTAGATTTATGACCTAGTGTTAAATGTAGATTAGAATTTGGAACGTGTGGGGTTTAAAGTTTTTTTTAAAAATTGTGCTGTGCAAATAGGAAATGTTGGGATTGCATAAAGGAGCTAAAACTTACTTTTGGAAATGAATCTTATTCATATTCATTTTCTAATATGAGCACTTAATTTTAGTTAAATAAATGTGTTTAATTAATGGAAATTTAAATTGTGTGCAAGGAAATTATGAAATTTTATCTGATTTTAGGAGGTGATAGCAAAATATTGCCAAAATCATCTCTCTAAAATAGCTTATTGCCAATTAAAATCTTTTAATACCTCCCTTCTGCTTTTAAGACAGTGCCTAGTTATTTAAAATGGCACAGTAAGGTTTTTCATTCTCGGATTTCATTGCCTCTGATTTTTCTCTCTAAGAAGCTTTCACTTTGTCTTACAGAACCATTTTAATTTCTCAAATATACTGAGCCTCTGCACAAATTCTCACTCCTTAGAAATTTCCTTTTCCTTATTTTCACTGTTAACTCATCATTCAAGTTTTATCTTGGGTTACCCATACCAAGAAACATTCCTTGCCCTTGTTCTTTTTCTTCATCCCCATATTGTCATAGCACTGAATCATAGCACTTGCTCATTGGTTTATGTGTCTACTTTCTCATTGGTTGTACAGTTTTGGAGAAAAAAATGTTTTCCATCTGATCTCAGTACTTTCTGCTGCCTGGAAAATACCAGATTTCACATGAGCTTTAAAAATCTTAGCACATTAAGATCAGTAATAAAAATCATGAAGGTACTTAAGGTATTTGAAGTTACTAAGTTCTTTAATGTTTCTGAATTTGATTATGAATTCTTCTTTAATGTTTCTGAATTTGATTATGAATTCTGAGGTTGTGGACTCTTGGTTCATGGAAGATTTGATCTAGAATATATTTCAGCAAGACTGAACTGCAAATCCTATACATTACATGTCTTCCTTTGAATGTGCACACATGCATACACAGTGAAGCCTGCTTTCATATGTTTTTTTTTATGAAACATAATATCTGTTTTCTGGTATTAATAGAATAATAAAATACCTGAATTCTAAGAAAGCATAGAAGTTATAATATATAAAGCTTCTCAGTTTTGTTTTTTTGGTGAGCTATAACAGTAAATTTCAATTCTTAGTTATATCTGACTTGCCCTCTTATAATTTAAAATGATTTCCTTTTGGAAGTTTGATTATGCATGTATCTGCTTACCAAAGCCTTTTCCTGAAGTCCTATCTAAATCGCATCCCTAGTGATTTTCTCTACCCTTACTTTGCCTTATTGTTTGTTTGTAACCCTTACTATCCCTGACATTTGACATTTCACTAATAAAAAAGTATCTGTATAGTGTTTAGAATAGTGCCCGGCTTATGAATATATAAATTTTTGAATGAAAGATATAACATTCTTTTATTTTTATATTAAATCTGATACTTTATAATATTTGCCTATTCCTAACTAATCATTTTTTTAGCATTTTTGGCAGCTGGCGCTATGATGAATCTTGACTCTTAGCTGGAAGTCAAACTTCTAGCTAGAGAGTAGCCAAATCTCAAGGTTTTTAAAGATTATTATTTTAAAGTTACCTATCTGAAACTGCCTAGGAATTAAAAAAACAAAACAAAAAGCCTTGAGTACTCATCTGACTACTGGCCTGTGTCAATTAAGAGTCTTTAGGCACTTATTTTAAAAAATACTTTATTTTTCTATCATATGTAATTAATTCGAATATTACCAAAAACTACTAAATATCAAAAAAGTATCTTTCAGTGTCATTGCTAAACAATAGGCTTATTCTTCTCGTCTCCAAGTATGTACCATTGAATTAGTACGTTCATGTGACATAAATCTTTATATTTTTCTCTGTCAGGCCTTAGATTTTAGTGATGATGAAAAGGAAAAAGAAGCCAAACACAGAAAAAAATACCGCGTTCAAGGCCGGAAAAAATTAAGATCTCAACTTAATGAATCAAGTGAGTAAATGCAACATATAGTAATTAAAAAAAAAAAATCTTTGCTTACATTTATATAAGTTCATCAGTAATAAAACTGAAGAAAACTTCTGGGTTTTCTTTTTTACCTCCTTCCGTCCAGCTAGCATTGAGGCATTTTGTAGCATGGGAAATGGTGGGAGGGTCACGCAGAATATTCAGGGGCGGTTTTTTAAGCTTGAGCGTGTGGAAATGGCTTGTAGAGGGGAAAAGCACCCCACCCTGTTACGGTTATTGGTGCTCATTAGCACTTTTTCTTAAGAAACCTAGTGGCTTCCATATTTAGAAGTAAATGATATGATACTTAATATCTAACTCAAAAGTATTTTTTAACATTTGTTTTATTATACCTTTTCTGCTTTTCTGTTTTCTTTTTCCTTTTTCCTTCTTTCTTTCTTTTTTTTTTTTTTTTGGTACGTTCCCCTAGAGAGAACTGAACCCAGGACTCTCTGGTCTGCAGGCCAACGCTCCAACTGCTGAGCCAAACCAGCCAAGGCTCTTTTTACTTTTTTATTTTTCTTTATTTTATCCTAACCCGAGGACATTTTTACATTTATCTTCAGATAGAGCAGGAAGGAGAGGGGGAGGGAGGGAGAGAGAGAGAGAGAAACATTGATGTAAGAGAGACATATTGAGTGGCTGCCACCCACACGACCCCAACCAGGACCGGGAACAAATTGCAACTGAGCTACATGCCCTTAGTGGAAACTGAACCCGGGACTCTCTGGTCCGCGGGCCAAACTGGCCAGGGCTCTTTTTTTGTTTTTAACTAAACCTTTTATAAATGTACACGGAGTTGTAAGAAATAATACAGAGAAATCTTATATGCCCATTACCCAGTTTCCTACAGTGGTAACATCTTGCAAAACTATACAGTAAAATATCACAAGCAGGATATTGACATTGGTACAGTCAAGATATAGAACATTTCCATCACAGGAGAAGATTCCTCATGTTGCCTTTTTAGTCACTCACACTTTCCTCCCTCCCATCTCCTCCTCAACTCCTGGCAACCAGAAATCTGTTCTCCATTTCTATAATAATTGTCATGTCAAGAATGCTTATATAAATGGAGTCATACAATATGTTAGCATTCAGAATTGGATTTTGTCACTGAGCATAATATTCTGAAAATTCATCTAGATTGTTGTATGTGTCAAGTTTGTTCTTTTTTATTCCAGAGTGGTATGTGAATATATACCACAAGTTGTTGAACCATTCATACATTGAAGGACATCTGGGTTGTTAACAGTTTTTGGTTATAGGAATAAAGTTGCTTTATACATTGTGTACAGGTTTTTATGTGAACACAACTTTTCATTTCTCTGGGATAAATGTCTAAGAGTGGAGTTGTTGGATTATATGATGGTTGTATGTTTAGTTTCTCAAGAATCTGCCATACTGGTTTTCAGTGTGGCTGTACCACGTTACATTCCCATCACCAATGTGTGAGTGACTGTATCTCCACATTCTCACCAGCATTTGGTGGTGTCACTGTTTTTTGTTTTAGCCATTCTTGGAGGTATATAGTGATATCTGTGATTTTAACTTGCATCTTCTAATGGCTAATGATACTGAACATCTTTCCATGTGCTCATTCACTATCTCTAAACCTCTTCAGTGATATATTCGGTCATGTCTTCTGTCCATCATCGAATTGTATTTCTCTTTTTTAACTCTTAAATTATGAATTTATACATATTTCTGTCAGTCTTGACTGTATTTTCATCCTCTTGAAAGGGTCATTTGCAGAACAAAAATTTTTAATGTTGATGAACTCCAGTTTGTCAGTTTTTCTTTTATGGAGTCTGAGAATTTCTTGCTTACACCTACATCCTAAAGATTTTCTCCTATTGTTTTTTCTATAAGTTTGTAAAATCACTTTAGGTACTCTAGTTACTTTGCCTTTCCGTATAAATTTTAGAATAATCTCTATCTTGACAAAAAGTCTTGCTGGGATTTTGTTAGGAATTGCATTAAATTTGTATGCATATTAGTTGGGAGTGAATTTACATCTTAACTGTATTATTGCATTTTCAGTTCTAAAATTTCTATTTATTTGTATTTTGTGTTTTTTTGCTTAGATTTTCTATTTGTTTTAGTATGTTCATAATTTCTTGTTGAAGCATTTTTATGATTATTTAAAAATATTTCTCAGATAATTCTAACTTTTTGTCATCTTGGTATTGGCCTGGATTAATTTAGCTTTTTCATTGAATTTGAAATCATCTTTGTTCTTGGTAGGTGAGTGAAATTTTAATTGAAACCTGGACATACTGGGTATTATGTTACGAGACTTTAGATCTTATTTAAATCTTCTGTTTAGCAGTCTTGTTTTTAAAACTGCTCTGTCAGGGAAAGGAAGGAGGTTGTCACATTAGTACTACTCCTACCAAGGAGGGATGAAAGTCCAGGTTTTCTTCTTCCATTGACACCTGAGCCAGGGGTGCCTCGTTACTGCTGGGCAAAGGTAGGCCTCCTCTTCTGCCTGGTGGGGTAGAAGTACCTCATTACTGTTCCCTGACAATAATGGGGTTAGCCTTGTCACCCCCAGGTGGTGATCAAAGTCCTGACTCTCCACTAGGTCTTCTCTGATGCCACCCAGTGCAAGGTGGAGGAATACTGTGTTAGCACCAGTGGAGGCAGAAGTGTAGGTTCCCATGTGATCTCCAGTGTCACTGCAGGAGGCCTGTGACTGGCTCCCTGTTCAGCCTACTCTGACACCAGCCTGGTGGGAGGTTGAGGCATCTCATTACAGATTGTCAAGGGAGAAAGTCTACGCTCCCCACTCAGCCTTTGAGAGTGTGGGCAATCATGACATCTACTTTTCTCTGCGCTGTGTGGTTGGAGTCGAGTAATTGTTGTCTAAAACTTTTCTGTCTTGCTAGGCTTTCTTTTTCCTGATTCTCTGGCCTTTGGATTCTTTAAAATTGATCATTTTAAACCTTATGCATTTTCACTACCTTGAAATATACTGAAAGTTAAAGAAAAGGCATTACTGAAATTCTAAACAGTATTTTTTGGTGTATTAAAATTAATTTTAATTTTTTTATGCTTTTTTTACTCTGCTCAAAGGTGAAGATTTTGCAGAAGTACATCAGAATTGGAATGCTCATAGCTCTGCTTCAGAGCATCCAAAAGGATATCGCAACAGAGAATTCACGCGAGGATTTCCCCGGGGTAGATACCCTCGACCTTGTCATGGCAGGCCCCCGCCTCCACAGTTCTATAACGCAGAGCACGTGGTATCTCGGGAGACTTCAGGACTGCCACCTCCGAGACAAGATCATCTTATGCCACAGTTCCCCTTTCCTCCCCCAGGGTTTGACGTGCATAATTTTTCACTCCCTCCTCCGCTGCCACCACCACCTCCACCTCCACCACCTGCGTTTGTGAACATGGGTTGGGCTGCACCCAACATGCCACCTCCTTCATTACTTCCTGGACCATACTCCCTACCCCCGCCTCCTCCCCCTCCGCCCCTGCCTCCCTCTCCCTCTTCTGGAGATGGTAATTCTTCTCATTTTGGACCTTACTATTAGGTGAATACATGCCTTTCCAGAGAAATGTAGACTTTTTATTTTATATGGGAAGGGTTTTGTTTTTTTTAAAGAAGCAATTATGGATTTAGATTTTTTAAACACTGTAAAAAACCGAATGCTTCCTTTAGTTGTAAGTTGAAATATACTTATAACCTTTGTGAAATTGTATCCATGTGAAAATTTCACTTTAGATTCGTAGGGGGAAATTCCAATGATCTCATATTTAATTTAGAGTTTGAATCCATGCCTTCCCCATCCCTGCCCAGTTAGACAGTATACACAGGTTTGATAACAAGCAGGTCTGGAGCAGCTTTCATCATGGATTAAAATACACTGGACTTACGATTATCCTGTTGGTATATCTGAACACTGTGCTGGAGTCCTATTGAGAGTCTTTAAAATAAACTATTTTTATAAACTTATGCTTTGGAAGTTGATTTTGATTGTAAGTGCAAATTACCAGTAAATTTAAATGTTCTGATTTAAAAAAAAAAAAAAAAAGTGAAAGGTACAGAGAAGGGGAAAGCCTTAAATATTGATGGAAGCTATGACTATAATTAAAGCTATACATTATCTGTGCAGATTTCCATTATTTGGGTACTATTCAGTAGACTTTACTATTTAACCATTTAAAGGAACACAAAGATTATTCACAATAAAATATATTATTCACAATAAAATGTATTTGATCCCATACTAGGAGACTATATCTTCTATATCTGTTTCATAGATTCTCACATTCCGGACACAGATGAGATACTTAAAAAGTATTTAATGAATGTCTGAATTGAGAGTTTTTTGTGGGTTTTTTTTCTTCATTTTTATCCTCACCCGAGGGCAATTTCCTATTTTTTGTTCAGATAGAGTGGGAGGGAGAGAGAGAGAGAAACACCAATGCAAGAGAGACACGTCTAGTGGTTGCCACCCACACGGCCCCAACCAGGGCCAGGGACAAACTGCAACCGAGGTGCGAGCCCTTCGCAGGAACCAAACTCGGGTCTCTAGACCGCAGGCTGATGCTCTAACCACTGAACCAAACCGGCCAGGGCTGAATTTAGAGTTTTTAATCAAATGACCAGTGAGTGTTATTTTACATCCTGAAACGTAAGGAAAATTATGGAATTTAAGAAATAGGAGAGATCTTGGAAGTAGTCTAACTAGTCTTCACTTAACAAATAAGGAGAGCCTAACTAAGGGTTCCAAAGTGTTAAGTAACAACTCAGTGAGATGGCAAGGAATTGAACCTAGTTTTCTTGATTCTCAGATCAGCACTTTCTGCAAAAATGGCGCTTCACAGTCTCCTTGACATTCTTAGAAAACATTTGTATGCATATCGGAGTAATCTGGAGACCATTCATCACAAGCCCATAGACTCTGGTTGCATTGAGGGCCCTTTTCACTGCTCCATGGGCTAAGGGGTCTCTGCAGGGTTCTTGGGGTGCAAGTTAAGAAGCTCTTGCTTTGGTATACACTGACTTTATCATGTGTCATACTCGATTACTCTTTCTTGAAATGTTTTTGTAGCTTCTCTTTAGGAGTTATAGGTTTTTCACAGTCTTTTTCTGGATATTGTCAGAGTTAAATGAGATTATATCTAAAAGCACTAAAAGCAAAACTTTTCAGTAAGAATGGTAAAAGTAAGATGTTACCAACTGGTGATAGTAAATCATGTTGCTTTAGTCACCATGGAATTAAAAAAATCTCTGAACCTCTGTAGCTCAGGTACAGGTATCTGACAGCAGAGCTCAATAATACCACTTGATATCTACTTTCAATTAAGTTGCTACCTTAAACACTTAGATTTAATTTGCCTTCTTCCTTATATTTAATTCAGGGTTTTTGAAACTTCAGGGTGCCTGGAAATCACCTATAATTATTACCCAAGTTTTGGATAGCTTATTAAAAATGCACATTCTTGGACTTTATCCCGGGTTCAAATCCAGTAAATCTAAAATGAGATTAGGAAACTTTTGTTGTTGTTGTTAATCCTCACTCAAGGATATTTTTCCATTGATGTTTAGATAAGAGTGGAAGGGAGGAAGGGAGAAAGAGAAACATCAATGTGAGAGACAGAGACATTGATTGTTTGCCTCCTACAAGACCCCAACCAGGGCCAGGGGTGGAACCTGCAACCCAAGTACATGCCCTTGACCAGGAATTGAACCTGAGACCCTTCTTTCAATGGGCTGATGCTCCAACCACTGAGTTAAACCTACCAGGGTTGGGAAACTGGATGATTCACTTCACGGTTTATTCTTAGTCTGTATATATTTCAGCATAAATACACTACTACAGCTTCTTGGCCATTCACTCTGGAACTTGAGGAAGTACTGTTTGGAGGAGTGATGAGGATGAGGGAGTTGATAGGGAAGAAAAGAGAAATAAAACCACAGCTACTTACATTTTATATGTAGCATATTGCTTGGTTCTGAGCTGTATTTTGTCAACACATCTGTCTTCAGAGATCAGGAGTACCTATTGTCTCTTGTTAGGAAGAGAAATTTTATTTCCATCATCCCCACCCTAATCTTAAGGTGCTGTTTTTACAATTATGTGGCTCTAGATCTTTAAACTACTAGACAATGTTCTACTCACACATTTTCTCACCTCAAACGGAATTGTTTATATTAGCCTTCTATGACAAAGTAGATGGGCCTTCACATGACTGAATGTGGGTAATGCCTTTGCTTATCTGCAGTTGTAAATGTGTGAAATTAAAACTTGCCTAAGCAAAAATATTTGTTTTATTGAGATGAATGACATTGTGTCCTCTCCCTTTCTTTTACAGAAAAGATAGTGAGGCCCATGGTAGCTGGATGACTTGTCCACTTGTTAGAAGTAGCTAGTAAAGAACTGGATTGAGACCGTCTAGTGGAAACCTGGAGTGGAATGGGCAGTCTCAGAACCTAACCGAAGAGCATTTCCTAGAAGCCATGTAGTTAAGTCATAAGGATAAATACCAAGATGCAACCTTCTCCTGTGTGGTAGAGTCTAATTGACTATACTAATGGGACACATGGGAGATGGCAGGGACCTTTGTGCAGAGGTCTCCCTTGTTTGGGGGTGAAGAGGAGTATAGACATTTTCTCTCTCTTCCCACACACATTCTGAAATGTTGCTCCCTGTCCTCTAGCCCTACTACTACTTGTTAGCCACTTTTTTGTTGTTTGCTTCAAGTTGGTGAGTACTATGTACATTAAGAAATTCAAGACATTTGATGACTATGGAATAGAATCTGAGTTCTGGTCTACTATAATGTTAAACTAGTAAATAAGGTATTTTAGATTCTCAGGTGCTAAGGATAAGATTTCTTACGAATCATAATGATTTGTGGAGAGATAGAATCTCAGGCATAATGTGCCATTTATATATATTCTGTTTCAACGGTAATGGTGCCATTTGCATTCAATTTTGATCAATTTACATGAATTTTAAGTTACTAGGAATAACTGGTGTCATTGCTTTCTGCTAGTCCTTTTACACAGTGTCCTGTCACTGAGTTGTTTCCTGTTGCAGAAAAGGCAGTCCACCCCTTTGGATGACACCGCTCAGGGAATTGAAGCAGGGGAAGGGAGATTATTCCTCACATGTCTGCTTGTCACCTTTCCCAGTGGGTTTGGTTAAGGCTCGAGAAAGTGTTTGACTTAGGAACTCTTTGCATGCTCAGGGTATTTAGTATTTTTCAAAACAGTTACGTACTTCTATAATTAAGTGTTAGCGATCCTCTGAAAACTAGATTAATATTTTGTAGAGTGAATTTATGTGCTCACAGAATATGAGTTCATGAAATTCTGTTCTTACATTTATATATTTGATACCAATAATAAGCTTTGAGGTATAACTAAAAAAGGGTACTTTAATAGAATGCAAGCTGCCCTGGCCAGTTTGGCTCAGCAGTTAGAGCGTCGGCCCGCGGACCAGAGAGTCCTGGGTTCAGTTCCCGCTGAGGGCACGTACCTAGGTTGCAGTTTGTCCCCGGGGCCGTGTGGGTGGTGACCACTCGATGTGTCTCTCTCACATCTATGTTTCTCTCTTCACCCCTCTCTCCCTCCCGCTGTATCTAAAGATAAATGAAAAGCTATACTTGGGTGAGGAAAAAAAATATATATATAATGCAAGTAAAAAAATAAACAGAATTATTTATGATAATTTATTATCAGGTAAAGTTGCAGCTATACTGTTTATGATTTAATATATTTAGGGTAAAAATAAAAACCCCACATATTTGTGTTTTCTGCAGATACATTGCCAATATTCTAAAAGCTATTTTCTCTACTTCTCATTGTGTGACCTAGATTGATACTGAATTTATGTAGCAATTATGTTCCAGAAAACCAAGGAAACAATTATTATAGTATGCCCGAAATTAAAGTTGAGAAATATCTTCTTAATACCATCTATCAAACCAAAGTACTTGTTTTGAGCTGCTAGCAGCAATGTAATTACTTCTCATTTTGACTCAGTTGTGTACTCTGTACCGAAATTGTTATCATTGGTGCATTAGACATGTACAATTACTTAGTGTCTTGGAAATGAGGTACAAATTTGTGTTTCAAATTGTAAAATAATGAAAACTAATGAAGAAAAAAATCAAAATTTTCTTCTGCATATTTCAATAAAAATTTATGTATATTTTTATATATTATATATACTTATATCTGTATATATGTATACAGATATTTGAAGGCTAGTACAAAGAAAACCTAATTGTTGTGCATCTTTTATTTGGTTAGTACCTTTAACTTCTATTCCTAATGTAGGTGAAATGGGAATAAATATTACATTGGCTTATTTTTTAGTTGGTTGTATTCCACCAGCTTCCAAACAGAACAAACTGACCTTATGTGGTAAAAGCTTTTTATTTATATTGAGGCTAGATGGGCTAAACATTGTATCTAATGAGAGCTATGACACAAATAATAATAACAACAACAATAACATAAAAACAACAGAATAGGGTTTATTAGAATAGAATCCCTATTAAAATGTGATAAATAGATGATGGTGGCCTCTAATGTTTGAATGGTAATGATAAACTTCTAAAATGCTCTCTGTATCAATAGCACTACAGTGAGCAAAACCTGTAACTGCAGCAGCTCTTGACACCTTTCACCGTGTGGCTCCAGGACATTCAGGGGTGTCGCAGAAACATTCGCTTCCATCCCCCCCCCCCCCCCCCCCCCAGCTCTCACAGGTCCCTGTGCACACTTCACGCAGCATTTCATCTCCAATGGGATGTAGGACCGCCAGGCTTACTTACCCAAGCTTGCCTTAGTGGCTGGCTGATTTATTCCAAGCAAATGATTTTCTTTAACATCCGTTTTTTGAAATGTTATCATTTTTCAATTACAGTTTACTTTCAATATTAGTTTGT